ATAAAGTGGAGGAAGATGGGCACAGATGTTAGCCCAGGGCCAGTCTTCCTCAGCAAAAAGAGGAGGATTAGCATGGATGTTAGCTCAGGGCTGATCTTCCACACACACACACACACACACACACACACACACACACGCCTAAAATAATCTTCATGTTAAAGAGACACATATTGGAGTGGCAAATTTCGTCCCCCTTCGGTACACTCTCTGATGTTCATATGATGACGAAATCGCCTGACGATGCATTTCTCAGAACATATCCTCATTGTTAAGCAGTGCATGGCTGGATAATCCTTTTAAGGTGCTGTTGAAGTCTGTTTGCTATTATTTTGTTGAGGATTTTTTCATTGATATTCATCAGGGTTATTGGTCTGTAGTTTTTTGGTAATGTCTTTGTCTAGCTTTGGTATCAGAGTAATAGTGGTAGCCTCATAGAAAGAATTTGAAAGTATTCCCTCCTGTTCAATTTTTTGGAAGAGTTTGAGGTGGACTGGTATTTCTTCTTCTTTAATGTTTAATAGAATTCACCAGTAAAGCCATCTGCTCCTAAGCTTTTCTTTGTTGAGAGTAAATAAATAAGGTTTTTGTATCACCTTTTAAAATTATTTGTACAGCACCATTCAAATTTTACCACTTGTCTTGAAACTTTTTTTTCCTTTATGATTCAGGAGCCAGTCCAGGATCATTGATTGCACTTAGTTTTCACGTCTCTTTAGTCTCCATCTATCTGGAAAAGTTCATCTGACTTTGTCTTTCATGACTTTTACCAATTTAAAGAGTACAGACCTTTATTCTGTAAGATGTCCCTTACACTGGGTCTGTTCTATATTTTGTCATATGTAGACTCTGGTCATATATTCTTGTAAGGAATACCTCAGAAATGATCACTGTATACTTGTCAGTTTGTGATATCTCACTGTGTACTTGTCAGCGTACTTCTCAGTGCACATGATGTCGACTTAGTTTACGACCCCATCAAGTTGGTTTTTCTCCCATCAACCATTTGTCTCAAGAAGGGCAAATTGGTATTGTGAAAGCAGGGGAAGGGAACCATCATCACTTTACCATGTTCTCAGAATCCCCTTTTTCACTTTAGATGTCTTAATTTAGGATCATTAGGAATTTTAATCTTTATTTTGAGAATAATGAGAAGCCGTATAAGTTTTTAGATAGGAGAATACCTGAAAAATTTTCATGTATGCTGTGAGGTAAAGGTTGAGGTTCAGTTTTTTCCTTCTTCTTTTTTTTTTGTATATGTTATCCAATTATTTCAGCTCTATGCCTCTTAATTTTACTTTAAATTTTACTCTGCAGTTTACAATTTGTATATTTATCACAGTCTGACTTCTGGTAATATTACATTATTTCATGTTGTAAGAACTGTACCACAGTTTATTTCTTTTTTTCTGTTCTTTTTCTTTTGTGCTGTTTTTGCCATACATTTTACACGTGTTAGACTGTAGATTTTTGTTATTTTTTTAAATTTTTTTTATTATTATTTTTTTTGTGTGAGGAAGATCAACCCTGAGCTAACATCCATGCCACTCCTCCTCTTTTTGCTGAGGAAGACTGGCTAACATCTGTGCCCATCTTCCTCCACTTTATATGGGACGCCGCCACAGCATGGCCTGACAAGCAGTGTGTCGGTGCATGCCCGGGATCCGAACCAGGGCCGCCAGCAACAGAGCGCGCACACTTAACCGCTACGCCACAGGGGAGGGCCCCTGTAGATGGTTTTTAAAAATGTATTCCTTCACGTAGACTTAAACAGTCTTCTTTTACATTTGTTTTTATGGTTGAATTTTCTTTTCTTTTTTTTTTTTTTAAATAACTCCCATAGTAGACCGTATAGTTTTTTTTTTTTTATTGCCAATCCTCTTCCTTTTGTTTCTCTTTTTCTCCCCAAAGCCCCAGTAGATAGTTGTATGTCATAGTTGCACAACCTTCTAGTTGCTGTATGTGGGACGCCGCCTCAGCACGGCTGGAGAAGCAGTGTGTCGGTGCGCGCCCGGGATCCGAACCTGGGCCGCCAGCAGCGGAGCGCTTGCACGCAACCGCTAAGCCACAGGGCCGGCCCCTGTGGTTGAATTTTCATAACACACTTTCTTTCTCCAACTTTTGTGCTAACAAAAGTAAACCTCTGTCCCTTTTTCTCAACTAAAATAAATTCGGTGAGTAGATTCCAGTTAATAAGATTTAGCAATATTTTAGAAATTTTCATATTTGAAGATAATCTCTCACAATTTTTTAGACCTTTATACTAACATGCATCAAATTTGAGTTTGCTGATTTTTAAGTCTTTGAAATTGAGAAGGGTGTTTTTGGGTCTTTGAATTAGGTTCTTTAACTTGTCTATTTTTTGGTATTTATATAAAATATATATGTTTTTTTTTTTCCCTCCCAGAGACTCATTTTCATTGTGGCGGTTTCATCTTAACTCCAACATCATGTCTGGTTCTAATGGTGCCAAAGAGACTTCCCACAAGAAGGCTCGGACTTCTCCTTACCCAGGTTCAAAAGTTCAACGCAGCCAGGTTCCTAATGAGAAAGTAGGCTGGTTTGTTGAATGGCAAGACTATAATCCTGTGGAATATACTGCAGTCTCTGTCTTGGCTGGACCTAGGTGGGCAGATCCTCAGATCAGGTGAGCAAATTAGTGGGCATTAGCTAGATGTAAGACTTTTAAAGAAGATAATGGTCGTGTTTGTAAATTGTAATTTCAACAGCTGGAAGATCATTTTTATCTAGTGTGTGACTTTGTTATAACTCAGTTTCCACATATGCTTGAATTCTTGCCAAAGCTAGACAGTCTGTGTTTGTTTATTCTTTTGGGAGTTTTATCGTGATCCTTCCAAATAGGTAAATCTATTTTGCTGTGAAGTTTTTTGTTTTATGAAATGACAAGTGGTGGTATCTGTTTTCATTTGTTCTGTTTGGGTTATCAGTAGAACAGCTTTTCTGGTTATTTTCCAACATAGCTGGACTTGTATTTGAAGTAGTGAAAAAATTTTTCAGAAATTTTTTCCTGTGCGGCCTGGTGGCTTGGCGGTTAAGTGCTCGCGCTCCGCTACTGGCGTCCCGGGTTCGGATCCTGGGCACGCACCGATGCACTGCTTCTCTGGCCTCGTGTCCCACATACAGCAGCTAGAAGTATGTGCAACTATGACATACAACTATCTACTGGGGCTTTGGGGAAGAAAAAAAGGAGGAGGATTGGCAATAGATGTTAGCTCAGAGCCGGTCTTCCTCAGCAAAAAGAGGAGGATTGGCATGGATGTTAGCTCAGGGCTGATCTCCCTCACAAAAAAAAAAAAATTTTTTTTCCAGATTACTGAGAACAGGATGATGATAAAATTAGACCAGTGTGAAAAAATAGAAACGGGGTAGATCAAGGAGAGAGAGAAAGAGGAAATCAAAAACCTCAAGCAAAAATGCTTTGACTAAATTCATAGAAGTGCTACATTGATTCACATTTTAAATTTATGTTCCTTTTAATGAATATAATGATAGAGATTTTTTTAATGTACTAACTGTGAGCTAGGCACTCTACTAAATTTTTTTTAGCATTATTTTATTTTATTCTTATAACTACTCTGGAAGGTAGACAGGGTTTTCTACTTAATGGAAAAACAAAACACACACAAAATGAAAAAAGTTTGTCTTTTGTGTATGGTCACAGAGCTAGTAGATGGTATAGCTTGGACTTGGACTCAGTCTACTGCAGAATTCGTGCTCCTCACCACTCTGCTGAACTGCTACCCTAGTTTTAGAGCAGTTTTATAAGTTTGATTTCATGAGTAAATTTATTGTAAATGATAGTACTCTCAAGACATTATTTAGTCAGTTAAGTAAAAAGTTTTGCTAGTTGAATAGATCTGCTATTAGTTCATTAGTTGTTAAACCTTACCCTGGTCTTATTGCTTTGACTTGATTTTGACCCAGAGTTTCCTTATTTTATCCAAAGATGTGTTTGTAGCTTTGTAATAGTACTTGGATTATTAATTAATCATGAAGCTAACCTGTGGAGAAATTATTAGCTTTAAGTGAGTTCCATTTTCCCCATTTTAGAGGATGTACATGTTTTTACGTATATTATACACACACATTATGCACAATTAAAATTAATGATGTTGGCAGGGGTGCTATATAGTGTAAATAGAGGAAGATTGAATATATTTTCTTATTTTTCATTCTATTTATTTTTTTAAGAGTTGACTTTATCACTATCTAAATCAAGCTTTATTACTAACATTAATGCTTCCATTATAATTAGGTTCATTTTTTTTTTTAAATGGTGAATTTCTCAACTCCCAAGAGCGCTGTAATTCTGGTTTTATAATTTCATGATTTTTACCATTTAATTCTTTTTATTTGTGTGTTAGATGGAAGATTGGTTAGAAGTCTTGAGAGAATGTCTGGATCATTCAAACTGGAAATTCTTCCCAAAACAGAGCACAAATATTTCTATGCTCACTTAATAGAATTAAAGCAAGAAAAAAAGTGAAACTTGTGTCAGAACTGCCCATGAACTATCCAGTGCTGTACAACTCTTTATTCACTGTCAGTGCAGTTATGTCAATGACTTCATAATGGTGAGGAAAGGAGTTTGTTTATATCTATTTTTAAAATATTTTTATTGGGGTATGACAAATGTAGTAAAATGCACATTTTTAAAGTGTGCGGGTGTAGCTCAGTAAAATTTTACACTTTTATAGCTCTGTAACTGCCATCTACATCAAGATCTGGAACATTTCCAGCATGTTATATCTATTTTAATCTACATCATAGTTATTATGAAGTTTGTGGGGTGAATTTGCTGTTTTGTGGGTTTACTTTGATAAAAATGTTAGCTAGTATACATTTGAAGAAATTAAAATTATTTTGAGACGGTAGAAACATCAAGATATCAGAAAGAATCTTATTTTTTGGAATCACATAGGAACCAATAATTGCCATATTGTGTCCACAGGCAGTTCCTCTTTGCTAGTAGTAATGCAGACTTTTTTTGTAGCGTGTGGAGGAGCTCCAGTTCTTCTGCCATTTGTCCTTCCCAGATGGGTTATAATACACATCCTTGTATTGTAAGGTGTTTTGATTAACACATTTTTTTTCAGTAACTATTTTAAAGGAGTAAGATGGATTTGTAAATGAAAACTCACCCTTAAAGAATTTAGTTTCAAGGATACTGCTTATTATAAATAACAGATTGACTAGCATTATTAAGCTGTTGGTAAGTGTTGAATCATTATTTCTTATTTTGCATTGGTATTCTCATTGCAGTGAAAGTACGTTTTCTCCCAAGTTTAATGAAAAGGATGGGCATGTTGAGAGAAAGAGCCAGAATGGACTGTATGAGATTGAAAATGGAAGACCTAGGTAGGTACTGGGAATGGAACATCTTACATCTTACATGGATATTCAAAAGTTAGAAAATATAATTAAATTTATCGAGTGCTTGTATGTACCATACATTGTACAAAAGAATTTATATATGTGATCTAATTAAATCATCACAATAACTCTAGGTGGATATTTTTAGTTTCATTTAGAGATAAGGAGAGAGAATGTAAGCAATTTTTATTAAGTGAGTGAATGGCAGAAGCAAGATTTGAATGCATCTTTTTGCAACTCCACCTTGAAGGTAGAAAAATTTAATTGAGTAATTTAGCAGAAAAAGGATTGAAAATTGTAAGTTCAGTAATTATTTATTAAATGAGATGATGCTTTAAAGAATTTATCCAAACACGTAAGAGTAAAAATAAAAGTAACCCAATAATTTAACATCAAGTTTTTTTCTGTACTTCTAAAAATGATTTTTCTACACAACGCCAAAATTTTCCGTTTTCCTTCAGAAGACGTTATAAAGTTAGGAAGAAATGTAAAAATTAGCATGCCCCAAATAAAACAAAAGAAGGATCACAGATCTCTAATCGTGGTTCTTACCTTGTAAAAATGTTGCAATTTGTATTGTTAGTCCTTCTAGGACAAGGAAATGATTGTGCTCCTGTCACTCCAAGCTTGTCCTTCCGTTTTGCTAAATTCTTTCTTTGGTCATATCTTACTCAACTTTCTGTGTTATTAATAAGAATCTCTTTAAATCAGACTCTTCTTGTATTTGACTTATTCCTTAGTCTTTTCTGGGTAAAATATATTAAAATACACATATAAAAGGATCAACAGCAAAGACAAGATAACATATTGTTTTAGTCAAGACTCGGACTAGTAGAGGCCGGTTCCACCTTGCCTGAGCAAAAAGTGAACCCTATTCTAGGGCTGTAGGGTTGTCTCAAGGAGCCCAAAGCAGAAATGCAGCTAGCTTAGGAAATTGGAAATGCGTCAGGACTGTCTCTCTGCCTCATCTCGGCCCTTCTTTATATGTTGCTTTCATTTCTCTTTCTCTGCAAACAACTTTCTCTGCTTCTCAGGCTATAAGATAGTCTATTAAGTATTTTTTCCACAGCTTCTAGTTTACAGGTTATAGGCTTTGTCTTTTATAAAAACTAACATTCTCTCTCTTAATATTGGCTTTGATCATTTGTATTTAGGGGTGTATGGTTACACGGAATAAAACACGGTTGCTGGCCACCCTGCCCCTCCTCCTGTGAATTTGAAAAGTAGAATTATTGTCACCTGGCCAGGTGTTTTGTCTTTGTCTTTCTGTCTTTATTTGCAAGTCTTGCTGAAAAATTTCTGAGTCTACTACAAAACAATATAAAAATTCATCAACTTTAGTCACAGTCACAGGGAAGGCCAGAATAAAAAGAGATGGCTGAAAGAGACATTTTGGCAAGTTGTTTAGTTAGTTTCACATGCGAGGAGGGTAAAAAATACAATATTAAATAGGTAAGATTGCAGATTAGGGCATTTTACTGGTACATAGTGAAAGTTGAATATTTAAGGAATATTGACTGGAAGACAATTACTCAGGCCCGAGTGTTGCTGTGTTTATCTGACAGACTTTAACACTGGGTTGTGGCATTAGGTTAAATAGTAAGTTGGCATTTTTATACAATTGTTTTCTTTAAAAATTGAATTTTGGTATATTTGAAATCTTGAAATATTGAATGATACTACTATCTCATTATATGCTACAAAATATATATCACTGATAATAAAGATCCAGAACCCACTCGGGAAAAATTGACGTTAAAATGGAACAAAAAATATTTTAATGGGAAGGTTTGTAGGAGAGTGGAGTAGGAAAAGAGGATGAGAAAGTGAAGAGAAGTGTGGGTATGCTGAATGATAAATCGTCACTGTTGTAGAGACAGATGATGTTTCGGTGCAGAGCATTTTATCCTCCAAGATTTGAGAGTACAGTAAGGTTCTAGTTTAAATTTAGAAGTATAGGTGAAAACTGAAACAAATTCGTGTATTGCAGGACTTTGGAAATGAGATCCTCCTCCTAGATCAAGCCCAAAGCTTAAGACATGCACAAAAGAAAAGTTAAATAACAATGCTTCCAGTGCTAGAGATGTGATAGTGCTACTGGATTTGTGTGGAGATACTATTGCTCTCTTATGGCTCTTACTACCTTTTGGGTTGTATCAAGTTGGGTTAAAACAGATGAACACATTCAATTGATTTTATGTTTTTTTTCCAGAAATCCTGCAGGACGGACAGGACTGGTTGGCCGGGGGCTTTTGGGGCGATGGGGCCCAAATCATGCTGCAGATCCCATCATAACCAGGTAAGAACTAAAAAAAATTTCAGTAGCAAAGAGCTACTGTTGGGAAAATAGACTGTAACCATGTGTTTACATACACACACACACACACACACACACACATATATATACACCTATGTATGTATGTATATATATGTGTTTGTATACATACCTGTATATATATATATACACACACACACACACACACACACACGTGTATATATACATCCACACACGCATGAAATCTGTGTTTCAAAGGGACTTTATGTAAAATTATAGTGATGTGATATAAGTGTAAAGCTGTAGTTTTATGTTGTATGAGTAGGTTAGGCATTATCTAAACGAAGTTAATTCACCAGATATTTATAGAGCATCTCTTTGTTCTCAGATTTGAGTAGGTGCTTTGGAGGATATAAAAAGGTGTAACAATTCTGAATTTCAGCTCCCTATCAATGAAGAGCTATGGCTTCATTTGCAAGATGAAAAATATGAAATAAAAAAACATGTCAAAGAAACATGAGTGATACAGGGAGCTTTAGAAGATTAGGATATTGGATGTGGGCATGTGATGGTAAACCCGGAGCACCCAAGAAAGGCCTTATGAAGGGGGTAGACTGGAGCTGAACTTGAAGCTTGAATAGGTGGTTGGGAGGAGGCCTAAGAAGGCGTGTAGTACTATCTGTCTGAGTACTGGGAGACAGTGAAAAGACCAGCTTGGTTGAAACAGAAGATTCTTGTAGGAAAATAGTGGGTGATAAATTAAAATTAATTTTTTGCAATTCTGTTGTGGAGAATATTTAATGCCAAGTTAAGGAGTGTGAACTGGTGCCATTGAAGATTTCAGAACAGGGGGAAGGCATTCTCTTCCTGAGGCAGGTCTAGCTGGTTAGCCAAATCATATTCAGAAAGTCCCTTGGTGAGCATGAATCAGAATAAAGAAGGTAGGTGAATCTAATGTTTAGGTGGACTTATCCATCTCCATGGCATCTTTCCAGCACATCTGGAATATTCTGTCATCTCTGTCATCCTTTTAATTTTTATTTTTAGGATTTCTTTACTGACCAACTCCCTCCTCACATGTAATTGTCACTTTCCTACTTTACGTAATGCAAATACCCTCAATATTCTTACTTTTTTAGTTTTGATAATTTTGTGGGCCTTCCTTTTTTCCAGGAGACTCTGTTTTTCTCTGATCTGAGATATAATGATAATTTCATAGTTTAACTCTAGGAAACCAGCTTATTTCCGTTATTTTCAAGTTACCAGAAGAGGCACCAACACTCACCCCATCTTATTCTTTTACTTGCCCTTTGAGTTCCCCTGCCAAAAGAGATCCTTACCCCACACCCCACCCCAGTTTTATCTTCCATGCATCAATCCATCTTTCTATCCACCCATCCACCCATCTACCCATCTACCTATGTACCTACCTACCTACCAACCAACCTATCAACCTACCTCTATCCATCTAAAATTCCTTTAGAAACTTTACGGTTTAAATGAGATGAGAAGAGTTAATATAGTCTTATTCATCAATATAATTAAGATAATGTCAGTAAATATTAATGGCAGTATCAGTTTCTTTTCAATTTTGGTGAGGCTGGCTAAAAACAGGAAGGTGTAAAACATTTGAAGTAGGAGTGCCGGTAAGGGGACAAGAAGCGGAAAAGGAAAGCCAGAGACTTGAAAGTTAGCCTCTAATTGGCATATCTTTATCTCTGGAGGACCAAATAGCAGCTAGGAGTGAATCTGGTGATTGTGTGTCAAGTTGTTTTGAAAAGGTAGACTTTTTGAGCTTAACTCTGTGATTATACAAATGAGAGAACTGAGGGCTTAGAGATGGTCCAAGGCCATAAAAGAGCCCACAGAAGGCAGAGTCTGGCTTTTAGCTGTACTCTTAGGTTGTTGTTCTTTGCTACCTCAGTAATGCCTTTGTTAACTGATGAGTCCCTCCAAATAGATGAGTGGCAGTGGAAATGGAAGGAAGAGAAGAATGACAGATGATGAAGGAAGAATCACCAAGATTAAATGAATTGTTAAAAATATTGCTTTAAATTAGGCAAGAAAAAGGAATAAAAGGAATCCAAATAGGTAACGAAGAAGTGAAACTCTCACTATTTGCAGATGACATGATTTTATATATAGAAAA